GTGTTTTGACATAATAAAGAAGTATTTTTTTTCTTTTTCAAAAATTTGGATTAGTTTTTTAGTTATCAGTCATTTTGTAAGAAAATCTATGCTTTTTCGTCTTCAAAGAGCCATATTAAAAAATGTATATACTTTTCTCCACTCTTATAAATGTATGCTAATGCGAACCTTACAATTGAAATATTAATTTTCGACAACTTAAACCAATAATATACGAAGGAATTAATAATTTAATTGCAAGGTTCGCATTAGTATGCATTTATCAAAGTGGAGAAAAGTTTAACTTTTGTATTAAAAATGTGGTAACATATTCGATACGTAAATAGAACGCTTCGATTTGATATATTTGTCGCTGTTCATCTGGATATGAAGACAAAATTGCAGGACAGGAACACTTTAATTGTCCACTAATATTCTGATTTTCTGCTATGTCTTAAAAAACTTTATTTGTTAAAACCTTTAGCGTGGCGGACAGCTGGCCGCCTTAGGCGGCTAGTTTAAAATAAAAATCATATTCATTACTAGATAGAAACAGTTTATACACAATTTTGTTTCCTTAATAATTATAAAATTAAAAACTAGTTTGTATTTTGTAAACACACTCCCATTTACTTTTCTACAACAGAAAATAATTGTTTTAGCAATTTTAGAATTTTACAAAAATTAAATAACATTAATAGACTCGAAAAACGCATGAAAGTTCAAATATTAAATGGATTTCTTATGACAAATGTAAACAAACTATTTAAGCAATATATTTCCTCGAGATATGAAACGAGAGGGGATTAAAAAAAACTAATTATCTGAATCAAAATGGAATACAATAAGAAACAGGCAAATATTTATTTTTAACAAAACACTTAAAAGTGAATAAAAAACTTGGTGATAAGTTTGGCGAATATTTATTCAGCCAATCGCTTGCCTTTATTGACTAGTTTTATAACTCACAAACACTCAAAATCGTCAAATAAAGTACTAAATGTTGCTGTCATATTTCAAATAGATATTTACTTAATAAATCCAGTTGTCGATGAAAATTCTTATATTTGATACACGGTTCGAACTGTACAATTCGAGTAATCCTCAAAAATTATTCGCTTATTTATTTTTTAAAAAAAAAAGAAACAGACAAAAACAAACATTCAAAGACAAATTCTGACAACTTAAAATCGTTTATATACTACATATATAAGTAAATAAACTATAATTAAATGAGTATTTACCTCACATGAACGAGATCCAGTTACAGGCTCCCAGTTATAATTTTCTAAAATTTATTACCTATTTCTACTTTCGATCGAGATCTCTATGAATATCTAAACAATGCTTTATTGAAATTACATACATTTGCAGGCTTGTGAGCTCAATTTAGGCTTATACACCTTTGTCAAGTAGAAATACAGATAGAACAATTCAGAGAAGGACATCACGAAGAATACATCCTGGGTTACGGCGGGATTCGAACCCGCTACCCCCACGCTTTGCACATCGTTTAGCCGGCGATACCGCTCGGCCAGGGAGGCCCCTCTAAACATTAAAAAGGCCATTTTTTAAAAAAACTATTTCCCTAATTCAACGCTAATATTAACTTTGCGTGACTAGCGAACTTGTTTGCTCCATAATAGCGACAGTTCAACTCTCTCAAGTACCGTGGTGGACTGATCGTTATTGATTGATTTGTTCATTTACGTCGCACTAGAGCTGCACAATGGGCTATTGGCGACGGCCTGGGAAACAACCCTGAGGATGATCCGAAGACATGCCATCGCAATTTTGATCCTCTGCAGAGGGGATGGCACCCCCGCTTCGGTAGCCCGACGACCTGCACGCGAAGTCGAGCACTTTACGGTAGAACAGTTTAACGAGGACCCATACCGCACACCCTCGGTCCCTACGCAGACCGATCCAAGTGGTCCCCCACCCGCACACTGACCGCAGTCAGTGATGCTTGACTTCGGTGATGTGCTGGGAACCGTGTCTTTACGATCAGTCCACTACGGGACGGACTGATCGTTAAGACACGGTTTAAAGCAGTTCATTGAAGTCAAGCAACACAGGCTGCGGTCAGTGTGCGGGTGGGGGACCACTTGGATCGGTCTGCGTAGGGACCGAGGGTGTGCGGTATGGGTCCTCGTTAAACTGTTCTACCGTAAAGTGCTCGACTTCGCGTGCAGGTCGTCGGGCTACCGAAGCGGGGGTGCCATCCCCTCTGCAGAGGATCAAAATTGCGATGGCATGTCTTCGGATCATCCTCAGGGATGTTTCCCAGGCCGTCGCCAATAGCCCATTGTGCAGCTCTAGTGCGTCGTAAATGAACTACAACAATATCAATTCCCCTAATAGAGAAGCTCTCATTAAAACAACTGACTCGTTATGACGCGTGCCTTAACCCACTGACGGCTTAGCAAAATGGGGTTGCTTTTTCCCAATTCACTATTTTCCTATCTAATAATATGGAAAGACCGCTAAGCGGAGAGGACTGCTGTATTTAAAAAGTCGTTGAATAGATTTTGATGGACGACTGCTCATGTCCTTCTCATTTTGAATCCAATTCAAAACACACTAAGACTACTACTGGATCAAGTATTGGGAGAAGGTTAGGACTGTATGAAGGAACTAATCCGCATTTGCGTTACATGGAGAGGAAGACCACGAGAATGTCCCACGATTAGCCTGACGGTTAGACGGCAAGAGGACTCGAACCCATGATCTATCTATCCCTGAGGATATTTCACGGTAGCACGATGGTCGGTGCAAGCTGGATGCGGAATTCGTATCGATCCACCATTGCTTGATCGAACCCGGGTTCACCTTATCGGGGGGCGAGTGCTCTTTCCCCTGAGCCACCACGGCTCATGACGGCATGTTAAAATAGGACTAGAAAATAAATCTTCAATAATGTTTAAATAAGAGATTCCGTTAGATACATTATCGATCGATGCATGTTAAAAGTTTGTTTCGTTAAATTTTGACTCTCCACCCACCAGAATGTGTTGTCTCTTACGTAATTATGACTCGATTATCGTTCATTTAGTTTTCATCATTCAATATGAGCTGATCTCCAAACATGGTATTAAAATTCTGTCACCTTAAGTAACTGATGTTTTTAGGAATTATTGGTGTGTATTTCTCGATAAAATTCGGGTAATAAACTTATTTTGCAGAACCCAGTTGAATAACCGTCACATTCCTTAGTCTTAACCATTTGTTTTTTTTTTTGGGGGGGGGGGGGTTACCATGGAATGCTGGTCGATTTTAATCCAATTCCAGCAAAAGCAATATTTTAATCTTTTAAAATTATATAAAATTTTATTTTGATAAAGCGTAACAAAAACAAAACTTAAAAAGTTTCCCACATTTTATGAACCATGCATATGTTTTAGCGTATGAAGCAATCGCTTCCTTTCTTTAAAGCTCTTCTATTCCTAAATTCTATTTGTGAGTATATCGTTTCTATTTTATTGCGAATATCAACAAACAAGCGAATCCTCATATAAAAACTAATTTATTCAACTCCAGAGTTATACATTTAAAATGAAACCATTTTAAGTCTTTTGATAGTTGTATAAAACTTCCGAAATGTATTCGGAAAATATGACAGTCGAAAAAACGATACAATAATTTATATATTCTGCTCGAATGCAAGTTTATTTTTAGTGTTATTTATGTTTTATTTCATAACCGTCGTTGAACTGCCCTTCCAAATTGGAGTTCATGACGTTACAATGTTCAACTCCGTAGCCTTGTAAGTTTGAACCCAATCCAGAAGACAAGGGAACTCTTTCAGCAGTACCTCCAGAGGTACTGATTTATTATAAGGACATGGAGGACCTTATGACCCCAACAGATTTCACGTTGCACCAGTTACCATTTAATAGACGGGATTCTTCGACCGGCTGGATTAAAATTCCCGTTCTCACAAAAACGATTCCAACCAGGCTATCATGGCTTTCTCCGGAAGTATTATAAAGGAAACCGTTTCCCACAATTAAAAGTGATTTTTTAAAAATAGTTTTATTTCAATGACCCTGTTTCCCTTTATATTTAGCTGCGTCGATACAAAGTTTCGTGGCAGCATTGTGCCTCGGCATTAGAATTTTATGGCACATCGCCCTTTCTACTACTTGCGTGCCATCGAGTCAAAATCGGCTGGGCAAAACATTGGGTGGTCATTTCTGAACTAATTTCTGTGATCAAACATCGAACTAATACTTTTAATTTACATTTATAATTTGATATGGGATTACCTCATCTGGTTGAAAGCGTGCTTCATCCTCAATGAAAATGATTGCCTCGAAAACTCCAAAAAAATCCAAACTTTTTTAGTCTTTATCTGGTAAAGACTGTGTGGAGGGGAAACCTTTATTAAGCAATGAGAGTGATTAACTCGATCATTAAAAAATAGAAATTTTTTCTAATGTCTGCTTTCATTTGACTTGTGAGGGAATGTATGTGCACTTAAAATGCGTATAAAACTTCTGTAAAAATGTATGTAAAAATTCTGGTAAAAATACCATAATGTATGTTAATGACATTTCTGGTAAAAGGCAGTGGAACCAAACAAGTGAAACCAAAACAAGCGATATGAACGGTAACGATATTTAAAACCTTCATTTGGCAATTTTTCTGCTCTTAATGTTTACTGGATATTCTAGTTTGCAAAATTGCAGTTCTTATTACCACAATTAGTAAAAAATACAAAACTTAAATTTAACCAGATAAAGGGTTCTTACGCCACATGCTTTCATAATCCATTACCAAATTTCAACACATTGTTAAAATTTTATCACCTATTATAAAAACATGTTTTATTTTTAATTTTTCCAAAAACAATTATCGAAGCTCTTTTGTAAAATGTACCGAAGCTCTTCTGGTGTTCCCAAAAATCCATGAACACGGTAAATTTTACCTTATTCTCGTCTATATTACCATCATGTTTTTCTTCTTCCTCAGTTTACTCAAAGTGGAGTGTAAAGATTGTAATGTATGAATTGTTTCAGATGGATTGTTAAATTAAAGAAGTATCGATGGGGGTAACAGACGAGGATATCGCCCCAACTTTCACCAAGAAGCCATCCCTGAGGGAAGAAGACGATGGCAACAAGTTGGTGTTCGAATGTCAGTTGGTCACCAACCCCAAACCGGCCATCCAGTGGTACAGGGGTGAGACGGCGTTGCACGAAGACCACCGAACTAAAGTGACCATGAAAGAGATCGGACCGAACAAATACAATATAATGTTAGAACTAAACGATGTATTCGAAACAGATGCGGGCATGTACAAAGTGACGGCCAAAAATAAATTCGGAGAAATTTCGTCATCCATCAATCTCAATTTCAGCCGTAAGTATTGCTTTTATTAAATGAAATATAACTCTCGATATAGAATGGCAAACATATGCAATAAAATATTTATTATTGAATTTAATTACTCACATTTTTGAATAGCACGCATTTCTACTTCATTTTAAATGACGCAATAAGAAACGTTCAATAGTTTCAATAGTTCTTGAATAATGTCCCACCAATTGCAAATTTTAAAAAAAATACACATATTAGATTAAATTTTGAAGTATCGAAGTGAAGAAAGGATTAAATAAATAACATAAGTGTGCTTTTCCCCGCCGTTTTCATCATAAAATATACTCACTATGAATGATAATCCTAGTGAATAATATTCCTTTACTATCAGTTAAACAGGGATGGGCAAACTACGGCCCGCGGGCCAACTGTGGCCCGCCGGAAGGTTTTATCCGGCCCGCGGATATAATTTTAATTTGCCGATCAGTGGCAATATACATAAACAATATACATCCATTTTCTTGTCAACTATTTAAAATTATTTCTGTTTTTCCTTTTTTAACAAAGTACTGATGACCTTTTTACTTTCTCTATTTTTGTTCTACAAAACATAAATTGATGGAAATAGTTAGCACAGACAGCTTCAATTGGTAAAATGTTGAAAGCAGAAGTTCTTTATAGAATAGCCGTAGATTGGCTCCAACTAGCTCTTGTCTCTCTCGCGGAGTTGACTTATGGAATCTAATATAGTTAAATTGCACTTCACATTTGGCAGACTGCGCATTTTAAGATCCAACGAGCGGACAATCTAACAATCATCTGAAGCAGTTGTTTCTAAATATGCCAAAGTTCTACAAATCATTACCAAAAACTAGTTTCCAAAATTTAATATTTTATGCCCAGAAAATCAGCTCTATGTTTGCTTAATCTTATATATGTGAACAAGAGTTTTCAACTTTGAACCTTAGAAAGAATCATTTCAGAAGTGGACTAGCAGAAAAGCATTTAGCCTTGTTCCGTAAAATAGGCACATCTCGCTTCGAACCTTAATATAAGGAACTTTTAAGAACGAAATCGCAATTTCATTCATCTCACTAAATATTTAAATTAAAACTTGTATATCGCTTTTTTTTTAAATTTTGAAAGTTTTATTTGTCCCACCAAACATTTTTTTTCTCGATTTTTGGCCCTCGACCAAAAAAGTTTGCCCATCCCTGAGTTAAAACAATCCTATTGATTATTTGAAATAAGGGTGCACAACTTTTTTGAGTGAAGGGCCACTTGCGCAGCGGGTAGATGAACGAAGGGCCGCATGCATATGGAGTCATGTTAGCGGCAAATAGGATTATTTTTATCTAAACATGAGTGTTCTGAGCACCAACTATTTTTATTAGTAAAATTAATAACTTATGTGAGGAAAATTAAATAATTTTAATTACTTAAATTTGTTTAAAACTAAAAGAACTGATACATTATTTTTAAAGAAAAACTTTTACATTTTCCAAAACTTTAAATAAAATAGAACACATTAAGTGAAAATACCGCGTAAAAACAGAAAATAAAATATGTAAAGAAGAAACAGAATAAAACATGAAGCGAAATCTATAAGGCAAATATCGAATTAAAGTGCAAAAAAAAAAGCACATTTCATTGAGTATAATATAAATTTGAATTGAATATTTTAATAATATGATGTTTAAACAAAAACCAAATGAAAAGAAATGTTTTATAGCGTTCTGAGGTTCCCGCGGGCCGCAAGTGGCCCGCAGGTCATAGGTTGTGCACCTCTCATTGAAGACATTTTATTTGTTACTTAACAAAACATTTTTCAATAGCAGAATAAAACGATTCTTTGATGCATAAATGAAATATTTCATTTCTTTCTTTTTCAGCTGCTGATCAACCGCACGATTAGTAAGTTCTCCTTTTTCCTATATCTATGCATGGTTTGCTAAATCTCTTCCATGAATTCAGAAGACTTATGATGAATTGATTTTTAAACAAACTACTTTTTTCCTCATGAAATTTTTATAAACGATTGTTACACATAATGAATTATTGCTTATGAAGGACAACACGCCCGAAGGTTTATGAGGACATTTTAAACACTTGTGAAAACAGAAAAAAAAATGTCTTTTTTTTACAACGAAATTTTTTTATTTATTCAAATTACATTTCTTTAATTATTATGTACATAATGCAATAATTATTTCTCAATTAGTAATTTATTTAATCCTTTAGTGGTTCTGTACTTAAAAAGTACTTGACCTAAAAGGACTTCTGTACTTAAGTGGTTCTGTACTTAATACAAATTGAAAAACTGCTCAACGTTTATAAATCAACTGTCGAAGGATTATTTTCTTTGTGTAGTAACATTCTATTTTAATTTTAAGTTTTCTTAAAAAATTCGTTTGGCGGGGGGAAAAAATTCGCATCAACTGTGTATAAAAAGAACATAAAAATTATTCTTGACTTAATAAAATTCCGAATGCTTAGAATCACTAATTTCTCTAACCAATTAATTTCTTTGAGCCGTGAGGAATAGAGCTTTCCAATGAGGTGAACCGGGTTCGAATCCCAGAAAGAACGGGTCGATCCAGCTTGCACCGACCACAGTGCTGACTTGAAATATTCACAGTGGTAGATGAATCATTCCCCTTGCCGTCAGACTAACCATGGGAGGTTTTCGTGGTTTTTCCCTTTTTTAATGCTATTGCGAAAAGTCCGCCACGAAACCAGATTTCTCCCAATACTTGATCCAGGAGTTCCCTTGTCTTCTGGATTGGATTCAAAATGAAAAGGCTACAGGTAGGAACTTTAGTAGTCGTAAACCCCCCAAAAAATTTAAGATTTTTCATCTGTTCAACGACAAAAAATAAAAAAAATTTTAATAAATAATAATTTAAAATAAAAAATAAAGGAAAAATTTTTTAGAAATGTAGAAAAGTAGAATAAAATTTTTTGCATCTTTCATAACAATTGAAAAAAAAGTTATCAGAGTGGAAAGTTATAAAGAAATTTCAGGGCCAAATGCAAATAAACTGATTTTTAATTGAGTTAATATTAGAAAAATTATTCTCTTTGTTATTTCTCCTCTATTCTATTTGCTTGTAAACAATGTACATTTAAGACTTCGGGAAACTGTGTGTTTGATAACTAAATAATTTTAACAAAACTAAATAATTTTAACAAAACTAAATAATTTTAACAAAAACTGATGGTAATTAAAATAAAAAGTTTTGTATTGAAAATTAAAAATAATTGGGAAATTGTATTCATGCGTTGAAGGTAAACGTAAAAGTATTATTATTGACACCGAAGATTTGGCAACTACTTGAAGTGAAATTATAAGCTGTGCAGTAAAAGATAAAATTTGTGGAGAAAAGTTACTAATTCATTTAAGAGCACTTAAAGTATCGACAAAATATTATTTTAGTCTTCGATGCTTCATTGAATCGTGATAGCTTAAGCATTCTCCTTCTAATAGTAATCAGGTTCGAATTCTGGCGATGGTAAGTCAATATGAATTTCGCATCTGACATGCACCGACCACAGTGCTGTAAAATATTCTCAGTGGTAGACGGATCATGAGTTTGAGTCCCTTTACCGTCAGGCTTACCATTTGAGGTTTTCGCTGTTTTCCTCTCCGTGTAACGCAAATGCAGGTTAGTTCATCAAGAAGTCTTCCACGAAAGCAAATTCCTCCCAATACTTGATCCAGGAGTTCTTCTGTCTTCTGGATTGGGTTCAAAATCACAAGCCGACGGAGTTAAACAGTCGTCAAACCAAAAATTGGATCGTCTATTCAACGGCGGTTATGAAATAGAATAAAATGATTCTTGATTAATTTTGGTAATAGGTACTAATTGAAATAAAAAAATATAAGATATGTTGATTCATTAGATGAAGTATGAATGATTTATAAATGGAGAAGATGTTTTTGCTTTTATGAAGAACAGTAAAAAATCTTCATATTATTATTGGCTCCAATGATTGATGTGATTTTAATATCTACTCTTACATAGGTACTGGTCTATATATTTGGTGCTTCATCAATGCTGTACACTTTTATGATAGATACTAATATGGCAAATACCCCCGAAGTTGTAAATACAGTAAGAAAAATAGCTTGGTTGTCGTAAATTTTATATATCATGAGTTTCCTAGAACATATCAAATACAATTATTCCTTAATTTGGTGATTAGTAGAGCCCGGATTTTGATGACCTAAAAAATCTCAATTAATGCCCTTAAAAAGTGCAAAAAATGCCCTTATGAACTGCAAAAAATGTCCTTAAAAGTGCAAAAAATGCCCTTAAAATGCGAAAATAGCTTTAAAAGTGCCTTATGACATGACTTAAATAGAAGTAAAAATATTGAACTAAAACAATGTTTTACTCTTTAAAATTATTATGAGTCGTTTCAAAAAATATAAAGCAATGCAATACTTGTTCTACGACAAATATGTTTTATATCCAAAAGTAACAAAAAAAGGAAAATATATTGACTCCAAAACATTTTCATTTTGTATAGAAACTTAAATGAATATAACAACTTCCATCTCATAATATTACTAAATATCAGAATCACAGTGGATTATTAATTTTTTCTTTTTAATATTTTGAAATGTAAACGAGCGTCTCTTGTCTGAAAGCAAATTTTTGTACCAGGAGAAGCTTCTTTCAACGTCTACTGATGTTATTGGTGCGTACTTGAAAAGGACGGTCAAACTTACTGACAATTCTTCTTCAATTTGAAAAGATGTTGCTTCACCTGTTAATATCCTAGAAATTTTCTTCATTGTTTAGAAGCCAGTGTAATATTAAAAAATTATAAAAAATAATAAAAATTAGAAAAATTTAACAAAAAAATTTAAAAATGCTTTAAAATTTTAAAGAAAATGCCCTATAAATCTCAAAAAATGCTCTAAAGGACAAAAAATGCAAAAAAATGCAAATGTCTTCAAAATCCGGGCCTTAGTGATTAGGTACTTGATTTACTTAATTCAATAGCGTAAAGCTACCTACATTTCTGGCCAAATTATTAGAAGCACTGTAAGATTCTATATAAAATCTAAATTATCAGATGATAATACTATACAGCTTTATTGTTTACACGGGGCTGAAACCGGTTTGCAGCTGTTTATATTCGTGTGTCAGTGGGTTAACGGTGTAATGCAATACGTTAAGAATAAATACAAGTAGGAAGTACGTAAAAAGTGTCCCGAATAAAAACCTATTACTTGTATGTTTAAATATAAAAGAATTGCACACAAACTAGTGCAAAACATGTCATTATTTGAAAACTAAAGTATGTCTCATCATTGGATTTAAATATTATAACATACTAATATAATATCTGATATAATAAATATTCCATATTAAAATAATATATCGTCTCATGTATCCAATCGTCCAATTTATATGATATATCGTCTCATGTATCCAATCGTACGATTTATATGATATATCGTCTCATTTAACCCATTGACACACGAACGTAAACAAGTGCAAACAGGTTTCAGTCACGGGAAAACAATAAAGCTGTCTCCTGATTAAGATTTAGATTAGACCTATTAAGATTTTACATAGAATCTTAAAGTGCGTCGACTCATTTAATCGGGGACTGCAGATGGCAACAAATAATAATGAATACAAAAAGCATCATTTTATCTTTATCAAACGTGACGTCATTTGTCTTGCATGATTTTGTAACATTGTTCAGAGCTTCACAAGAAATAAAAAAAAAACAATTGAAGTGTTTAAAGTAATCGATGTTCAAAAATAAAAATAATCGAGGTCTTCTTCTAAATAGATGTGCGTAGGTGGTTGCTTTTTGAAAGCTGCATTGGAGAGAGGAAGAGAAAGTTGCTATTTTTAATCCTTTCCACCAGACACACATTTAAAAATACCTCCCGAGAGAGAATCTCTCTGTTGTACTAAAGAGATAACTTCATCCTCTCTCTCTTTTTCTTTTTTTTTTAAATGTTTTTTAGTAGTGGAGAGGGGCTAAAGTGGACAATTTGAGAAACTTATTTTATATATTGGTGAAATCTCCAGGGGGAAATATGGTAAACGAGTAACACTGGTGTACTCATGGATGTGCAGTAGCACAGAGTGAATACTTTCGTTTTTTAAAGTAACCTTCAGGTTTTATCTTTTATGAGCTCATTTTGTTTTAAGAATTTTAACTGAAGTTTATGACCCCGTGGTAAAATGGCAGCGACACGGCGACATTGTCGTTCACAGAGTTCTTGCAGAAAGAGTTTTTCTTTTGATAAGTAACAAAAAATTGACTCGTACTTAAAAGTAACAGAAATTGACACGTCATATTTGAATCAAGATAAAACACTTTATGGCGCGCTCAATTTACGCCAGCAGTATCGATGCAATGTTTCGATTGCATTTTCGGCAGTTATTGATATTGATTTTCACGTGGATTTTAAATACCCCGATATATTTCAAACACTATGGAAAATTCGAATCGTGCATTTATTTGAGTATTTATTTTTTAATGCGATCATTCTATCGAATTTTCGGCAGTTATTGTTATTGGTTTCTCCATAGTTTTTAAATCAGATATTTTTTTTTACGATATTATTTATGACAACAACTTAGCATCGAAACGAAATTTGAGGAAACCGATTCACGTGATTTCATCGTCATTATTTTTTTTGGCAATGACTACAACGGATTTCATGATTTTTAATTATTTTTTTTTAATTATTTCTTACAAAATGCTAAGAAGGACATAATGTGTGCGTTTCACCCCTCCCAACAAAATGCGAGAATATGACCATAATATCAGAATACTTGTTCAATTAAAAACAATTATATATATATTTTTGTAAACACAGAGCACTTGCTGTGAACACAGAACACTTGTAAGAAAACACGAACTAACAACACTTGTCT